GCTGCACAGTAGGCATCCAGAAATACTACCTATCCAAACTGAGACTAACACTTCATTTCCATCATCATCATTGACATCATCAAAATCATGGATCATTACCAACACCATATCACTTACAAGCGGATTGTAAGAAAGTCTTACTTTTTCTTATTTGCCCACGCTGTTTGAAATTACTTTATTCAACTACATAAAATTTTGTCGGTCAGGACCAAAATAGTTGTCTTTCTATGCTTCCTATTTTTAATAGGGTCTAAAAATATACACATAATTTAAAATGTTATTGATTAATGCAAAGCTTTCTTCATAGTCCCTCATGATATTAGCCAAGGCAGAGAACTCAGCAATTATGGTTTCTTCCCTCATAAGATTATTATAAAGGTGCTCCCCATAACCTCCAGCCCACTTAAGTCCTGGGATTTCAGAGATTAGTATGAGTATATTTTAGAGACGGAGTAGGGAACAGCTCAGATATATCTTTTTTTTTTTTAAGTGACATTACGTGTCAATTCAATGGCAGAGTTTAAAATACAAAACTCCTCAATAACTTTGATGAACTACCTCCTTTCCATGAAATCCCTTACACTTTCGCTTTGGCTGGTTTGCATTCAAGTGGCAGTATTTTTTGAATTAATATAGCATCTTTCTCTGGGGTATGCATCTGGTTCTAAACAATTGTAGCCACTCTGTTTTTCTTTTTTAGATAAGCAAACTGAGACAGAATTAAACCAAAAGACTAATTTGCTCCTCTCCATTCAAAGTTGTCTGGAAAAGAAAGAAACGCGCTTAGCACGCTGCTCTCTCTACTGGGTTCTTCTAAAGTTACATTAAAAATAATAATGAAGTCACAGGGAGGGGTTAAGATGTATTAATTTCATGCTGAGTATGGATTTCAGAAAAATATAATTAAAAATTCATATATTTCCTTATGTAAAATTGTTTTCACATAATCAGGGTTTTGACATTTTTAAAACATATCTGTAAAATAAATGTTCTTTCTGATAACCTGATAAGCCAGGCTGCAGATAAATGTTTCAGATAGTGATAAAGATTTTACTTAAATTTGACTTCCACAGAAAGATATTTTTATACCATCATTCCATATTTATAACAAAATTCCTGACCACTTAAATCTGCTTTTTTCCCTGCTTTTTAGCCTCTGAAAGCATGAAAACAAATATTAACATGTGAATAAAATAGTAAAAAACCTAACGCTTGTTTAGCTTCTATACCACTTTCACATATACAATCTCACTTGACAAAGTTACTATTGTCTCATCATTAATGATAAGTCTGGCATCTTTTCTAGTTTTTCCTGATATCTATGTTCCTCCCTTTGGCAGGTTCTTACACCTGTCTTACAGATCCTTAAAACTATAAAAAAACAAAATTCTCAAACCTAAGAATTTTCCCAAATTATGAATGTCATAGCCTAAATATATTCACAAAAGTAAATAACAACTATAGCCAGGGATCCAAATTAAATGAGTGTGAGAAAGAAGATTAGAATAAGTGGCAATTATCCTTCAGGAGCTTTCTTCCAAACAGGTACAAGCCACATGGAGGAGGTGAAAATGAAATGGGGATTGAAGATGTGATTCCGTTTTCATCTGAAAATACGTTCATTCATGAGGGAATATGTGACTCCTTGGGCTATTCTTAGACCAGCACAAAGTGCCAGGTAATCAGTAACCATTTAAATTAACAAAAAAAGTAAGATCAGAAAGAAAGGGGGCTGAAATGTTACCTAAGTAAAAGAAAAAATGTATTGGAAACTTGAAAGTTAGTCACTTAAATCTCGCTTTAGAAATCAGTCTCTGTTCAAAGATAAGAAAGAGTTTTAAACAATCACCAGTGGACAAATTAGTTGTCCAAAATATGCATATGGCCAGGACACAAATTAGCAGGACATTGGTTTTGAGGCAAAAGGTTTATATATTTGCCAAGTTTTTTGGAGAAGTGAGTCTAACGTTTAAGAATACTGAGTAACAAAACTGAAATAAGCATGCAGCATTAAATTCCTAATTTGAACTTTAAAAAGGATAGGTAATATAGTCAAGCATCATCTTTAGTTTTATTTGAAGTTCCTAAGTGGTCTGAACTCAAAAAAGGAACCCAGGATAAGATGACTCCCCATTTCCTTCATCATGAAATTTGGGGTAACATCTTGCAAAATTTCAGCTTGCCAAGTAACAAATTTACATTAACAATAGTTTGTTGGGACATGTGACAATCTTTCTTACATTATGATGTGCCCAGAGAAATTTTATCTATTACATTTCTTCACATGTAGATGTGGCTGCAGATTATGGAAGAAATGGAAGAAAGTAACCATAGCATCTCAAAGCTAGATGATGTGACCGTCACATAAATTCTCTGAACATCCAGTATGACACTCAGGAGAGCAGTACAAATAAAAAAGTTAAGAATCAGATAGTAAAGCTTAGCCTAACTGACTAAAGGCACCAGCCTAATTTGTAAGGGAAAAATAAGGATAATCAAAATAGCATTTTGGTTTGTACAGATAAAAACAACCATACAGTTGTCTGATTTTTTATTTTCCACTGAACATATAATATTTTAGGCCATTAGCTCTCTAACTTTTTCTTTGAATTCAACCCACAGCAAGAAATACATTTTACATCACAATCAGCACACAGAAGCATGTATAATTAAAACAGATTTTCAGGAAACAAAATTTATCCTTACTAAATACCACACATTCTAATATTTTCTATTATATTCCTTTCTGTTTTATTCCTTCTAAAAGAACATTCTAGACTCACTAAACTGATTCTATGACCCTCTGGGTCATGACAAGCAGTTTGAAAATACTGCTTTCAGCCTCAAAACTTTTGATAACTACTTAAGAAACTTAAAGTTCCCTAAAAGAGGTTAATCAATCCTTTCCTTTATACTCAGAGTTACTTAAGCAGAAAAACTAAGAGGGGAAAAATACTCAATAACATCTGTTCATATGAAGAACTTGCTTAGATGCTTCTTTTCCTTGCTGGTTAATAAAAGGCAGAATTCTAACAACAGAAGAAAGACTTTCCAGGAATCAAAACACAGGAAAAATCATCCTAAAACTGAATTTCCACACAGAGTTCCATTTTTGCAGGTTTGTTTTTTAATTTTAAGTTCCTTGTCTTTTTTATTATTCTAAGAGTATCTGACTATCATTTAATGCAAAAAAATGTAAGATAGGGCATATTACACTGATACTGCTTATCACTGGGAAGATGAACAATTTTGAATAAGATGTGATCCCCTCTGTATTTGACCAGGTTCACTTTGTAATTATTAGCAAGGCAGTAAATAATCCACCAAGGAGCAGTCTCATTAGTGCCCATTGAAATTCAGTGGCATTAATTTGCAATAAAAGAACTGAAAATTAAATAGGAAAGAAAATGGTTTCTGGAGTCCATCATAAGGTTATGGAATTCACATCATACCAGTGCCTTCCTTCACATCAAGGAGTTTAGAATGTTGTGTGGAATTAGACTTAATCGCTATATTTTATTCCTCCATTAAAAAAAAAAAAGGTGGGCAGAAGAAATCCTTTTTCTCTATTTTAAACCTAAATTAAAAGGAATAAAATTAATTCGAAATACACCAACTTTTAAAAGTTTTGTTCATTGTTTGTCTTTTAAGTAAAGAAAGCTTTAACCTATGTGGCTGTGGGATGTTCTAAACTCCTCTAAGGTAGCTGAAGATGCACGGTGGATACTCCCAAAATCTGCCCTTCAGCACCCTCTGGGACCAACCTGCACCTTAGTCCCCTTCCTTCTGCTATAAATATCCCTGGAAATAGAACACTGAACAAAAACGGTCCACGGCTTACAGAGCAGAAAGAAGTGGGGACACCAGAACAGACACCAGTGTGCAGATGGGAAATGCCTAATTCTGCACCAGCCATGTGGTGCCCTGAAGCTCCCAAACCTAGTCCAGGGTATACCTATCCTGTGGCCACCTAGGCAGGTGTTCACCAGAAACGCCCACCTAATCCCTCTGCAGGCCCATCAGGGGTGGAAAAAAGAAAAAGGAGAAACTGGGCAAGGGAAAATGGGAGGAATGGAAGAGGGAGACAGAACAATTACAGTGGGAAAAAAAAATTAAAAGGAGGATACAAAACCTTCACATTGAAGTCGCGAAATGTTCTCCTATGTCCTGGACTGGCCGCGCTCCTTCCACAGTGGCTGCAAGGCGCAGACCCCGCTGACCCCGTAGGACACTCCGGGGTATTCTCCCCAGATAGGACAGGATCGTCCCTGGGCTGGCGGGAGATTATTTTTAAGCACTCGTGCTTCCATATGGCTAGTTTTAAAATCGCGGGACACCTACAAATTTCCGGCTGTCAGAAGTCACATGCCAGCCACCGGCTCCAGCGCGGACTCAGCCAGCTAACTCGGAAATCAGAAACTTTCTGGGACCCATTCAACTCCCAATCGCTTTCTAAAGCCCCAGGACGTGGGGTGGGGAGGAGGGGGATCGCTTCCCAGAAAGTCATCACAGCGGACAAATTTCCAATCAAAGAGTCCAGATGAAAGGAAATTTGGGGAGCATATTAAACAAAAATATTAAAAGGCTAAATAAAACTCCACTGAGCTCCGCTAACTCCAAACAACCCCAGCTTTAAATGCCAAGCGTGGGACCTTCCCAAGTGACTCAAAGCGCCTCGTGTTTATTTGCCTGGAGGTGTTTTCCCCCACAAATAACTGCTGCTTTGTCTGGTTTTCCAACGTGTGTTTAGTTAGGAAGCCCCGGGCGTTCAGGTCTGCCTCTCGCACCGACTGTAGATGGGTGGAGAGCGCGTTTTTTTCAGCTGCCCTGCGAGAGAACTTGACTCTGAACGCAATGCGGGCTGCACACAGAACCCCCGGGCTCCCTGCGCGTGCCCTCGGGTCACGCGTCCCGCGGCTCCCGCGGCTCCCCCGGCTCCCTCCCTCCCTCCCGCCGGGCGCGGCGGCCACCCCGACGACGGGCGGCGCGGGCGCGGGTACCTGTAGAACGCCGGCGGGCCGGCCTCGCGCACCGTGTAGCCGCTGGGCTCGTTCTCCAGGTAGTAGGGCACCTGCTGGCCGTGGGGCTGCAGGAAGGGCGACAGCTGCGGCGGCGGGTGCAGCAGCATCAGCGGGCTCGGAGACACGCTGTTGAGTGTGGGGAACCCCCCCAGGCCGTTGGAGCCGAACGCCGCCGCCTCGGACCCGGGGCCGTAAGGGAGGCCCGACTGGCCGTAGACCTGCGTGTTGGCAGCGGCCGCGGCGTTGAACTCGTAGGCGGTGCCCTCGGGGTAGTTGTACACGGCGGGCTTGCTGCTGTCCACGTACACCTCGCCCAGGGGCCGCTCCAGGGGGATCTTGAGCTGCGGACGGTTCAGGGGCTCCAGCTCGTTCCCCTGGATCTGGTGCAGAAGGGCCATCCCGGACGCTTTGGTGTGAAGGGTCATGGTCATGGTCCGAGGCCGCCGGCAGGGCGCAGATCGGGTCCCCGCGGGGCCGAAGGCTCAGAAGCCGGCGGGCCACCTGGAAAAAGAGCACAGCCGGTGGTTAGAGGCGGCGCAGCGCATGTCCCGCCGAGACGCGACTCGAGCTCAGGCCCCGGCCCTGCCCCGGGAGCCGGCGGGTCCGGTGGAGTCTGGCGACCCGACGGGAGCAAGTGCAGTCCCTGGACAAACGCCCTCCGCCAGCTCCCGCGCTCCGGGCCTCCAACTTTAAGTACTGGTCTCCCGAGCTCATATGCATTACAAAGGTGCTGGAGAAGGGCCAGGGACTGTTGCCTTGCCCTGACATTGGCTTAAACATCACTCCAGGCACAACTCGTTTTGGAGCGATCCCAAAGAGCAGCTTCCCTGAACTTTACTTGTCGTCGCTGCTGGATAGAGGCTGTGTTTCACGGCCAGGGGGCGGGGGCGCACGAGGATCTGCTAAAGGTGGCCCAGGGAAGACCGGGCTTAAAATAAATGCGAAAGACGAGTCCAGGAGCCGGCTTTCTCCCGGGAGCTGCCTTATGTGCCCCGTGCCAGACTCCGATATATCTCTGTTTGTCTCTCTTTCGGTTTGATTCCCCCTCCTCGTTGGCTAGCAATACGTAGTGTGTACATAGGATGACCCTGGGGAGGACTACACTGTAACCAAGATAGGGCAGATAGAATGGGGTGTGGGGTTGCATACGCAGCCAGCCACAGACAGCTATATTTAGCAGCTGGGGGAACTGATAGGGGGCATCTGAGGGGAAGAGGGGGCAGAGATTCAGGGTATACATATAGGAAGACCTGCATTTTGCCGTCAGGAGAATGTAACCTTCCCGGACCTCAGTTTCTTCCTCTGCAAAATGCTTCCAAAGTGGACCCTTCCACAACCTTCTGAGAGACTCTCAGCCTGACTTGTGTGTTTATGTTGGACCACAGTACTGTACTTGGTCCTATTAGGAATTCTCATGTGAAGGATGATTCAGAAAAACCTTTGGTTAGGGCGCACATGGGTGTTCATGCCTTCCACAGGTTGGTTATGCAACCAAAACTTCAGAAAACTGAATGTGAAATGTGACCTTTTCATACCAAACATAACCTCAGGTCATGAACCAAAGCTTTGGCAATTATGTTACATAGTCGGTCTGGTCCAACTAACAGATTTTTAAAATGCATTTCTGCATGTCTATTCCTTAGTCCTACAACTCAGTCTTATCTGTTCAATAGGGTTAGGCTATGCAGAATCAAATATACAGATGAAAAACAAATAGAAAAAAGTTTTTAACTGAATTAAAAGTTAAGCATGCACACACACACAGACATATATTAAGGAGACAAAAGTTACAGGAAGTATATCATGCATCTATCATCTTGGATAGCTCATACTTTTTAATAAACTTCCTTTGCTGTAGCCTAATAGACCCTGATACAACTATCAATATTTTGTTTTAATTGCTATCCCTAACACCCAACAGAGTATCTGACAAAGTGTTCATGGTATACCTAAATGCCAAGCTTACTGTTACTAATATTTTATATCAAGTATACATTTTATCTCATTCTTACAAAAACAGACCATTGTTGGACAATATGCAAAGGTAGCTGATTCAATACGAAGCCAAAATCCATTTTAGCATGAATAACTATATATTGTCAGCAAACAAAGGGTTAAAAACACATTAGGTGCATCGCAGATATTTCCCTTTATGGTCAGCTATCATTACTTTTCAAAGCAATTTTTTACAGATGATTTAGTTTCCATAAATCACACTTTCAATTTTCAAATGCCTTTTTAAAACACATGCAAAAAGCACTTCATAGGGCTCTTAAAAAAATCTGAACCTGCTAAATTATATGCAAATGGCACAAGAGATCCTACAAGTCCTGAAAGAAAAAGGAGACACACACATACCCCCATGGAGAACAGCAATCCTCATCTCCCTGCGAAGATACAGACACTAGCCAGAAAGGTAAGTTGCTTTCTCAAAATGCTAAAGCTACAGAGAGAGAAATCAAAACAATCCTACCCTGCTGGATCAAGAACGTCTTTCCAGAAATGTTCCATGGGCTTGTAGAAGTCAAGGGCCGAGACAGTGAGAAGGAAGGAAGGAATGTGCTCGCATGTGTGAGTGGCTCAGTGTGTGAACTAGGCAGAGAGCGTGTGTGGATGTGTTTGTGCGTGGAATGGCAGGGATTCGGGAAGCAGCCAGTAGGCAGGGCACTTGGCAGCCCCTCCCGGCAGACACGCAGCTGGGCTACTGCACGGAGCTGGATGAATGGCAGTGGGGAGTGAGGGGAGATTTGCTGTCTGCTCACAGGGAGCAGCGTGGCACAGCCAGAGAAAGCTTTCCTGGGGAGGAGAAACCCCAGCCCCTTTGCCCCTTACCCTTGGAGGCTGGAAAGTGCCCTATGCTTTCCACTGCCACCCCAAGCAAGAGGAAAAACAGGCTTGCTGTGAATCATAGTCTTACGGCTAAAATAGATTGCCAGTCAAAAGTGTATGGATATCAAGTTTACAAAATAGGACATGGGTGGTTTTTCCGAAAGAATATAATTTAACAATAAAAGCCTTCTGGGATCCATGTGGATCAAATGCCTTACTGGCCCTAGCCCCCGGTCTCTGAACACAGGCATTGCCATGCCTCCGATTGCACCAGGAAACCAGACTTTGGAATAAATGTTTTGGCATTCTAGGGATGTGTTTCCAGCTGAAATGTAATACTCCTCCACTTCGTTAACCAAACCCACAAACCTTTCCACGAATAGCTCAGTTGATTGCTTTCTGTAAACATGTGAAAAATATGTATTATTAAAAGCCTAGGATATGAACATAAGATAAAGGTAGATAGCTTTGTTTTAAACTGATTTTGAGATTTCAGGTTGTACTGACAGTGATCAGGAACGAGGTCTCTCATGTCCCAGTGGGGTTCGTGTGGATCCACCCTCCTGATCACTTTCTCAACTTTTCTCTTGACCACAGTACTAACACGAAATAATGAGGTGCTCCTAGAGTGCCCACGCTCAGGGTCCCAGGACACATGACACCCAATGGAGCCTTTGTTGCCAGACATTAGTCACCACCTTGGATATTAAATGACTCTACACAATGCCAGGAGTGACCGGTATCTGGCCCTGGGACACTATGCAGTTACTGAGAGATTTATGAGTGGCTCTTGAGACCAGTACAAAGAAAGAAGTAGAAAGTCATAAAAATGTCAATGAAGCCATCATGCAAATATATATTTGTGTGATTTGAAAGACCCCGAATATTGCATCGTTGGAGCACAGAGAGCTCTCTCCGTAGTCAGTATTGACAATAAATACTAGATACAGATAAATATTGAGAAGAAAGACTGTTACCCTTTGTTGGTGACAGTGGTCCCTCCTGTTGGACAACAATGGCCACCCATGCTCTAGACCAGTCCAAAAAAAGCAAGAGTATTCGGCGGGAATACTCTTGAGAGAGGAAGAGGGAGAAGGAGAAAGAAAAGAAAGAGGATCTGCATGTGTTCACTATTGACATCGGAAGAATAGCCAGGGTAACTGTCTCCTCATAGGCTCTGATTTTTCCAAGACTTAACAATCAAAGTTAGCCCAAGAGGTTCAATAAAGGCAGTTTTCTTGACCACTTTCTCTTCAGCATTCTCTTCCAAATACATCTTGGTGAACCTCGTGCCTGGTCTTGGTGAGCATAGGTGAGAAAGTATACGGTGCTACACCAATTTTCCTCTCGTGCCTTTTGGCAAAAACTTCACTCTTGGGCTCCCAGCTCTCCTTGCTTCCCTCCTTATCCTCGCAGGCTGGACACACAGACTCCAGCCGTGACTTACTGGCTCTCCCAGGTGAAGAAGGGTAAAGATTGCTCTGGCTTCACTGAGGAATGTATCTACAACCCCACTTTTCCAGCCATCTCCTGGGCATTGCTGGCTTGTTCAAATATGAGTCACCATTCTCAAACATGGTGTTCCTCTCAACTTCCCTCTGTCTGTGCCCAGGATCCCTGTCCCTCCAGTCACCCAGATTAAAATCTCCCTGTCTTCTTCCAGGGCTGATTCTCCTTTGCCTTTCTCACCTAATCAAGAGGCAATTTCTGAGCCTTCTAGCTTTACAATCTCTCCCTTTCCATTGCATTTCTGTCATGCCCTTTGAAACCTATTACCTTATCTGTCCTAAGAGCCTAAGGACCTCTCAGCTCTTTCCTCCTGGACTTCATCCTAGACCCTGCTGCCTGCTTATTTTCTTGGATTTTTTTACTGCCTCAGGGTCCATCCTGTCATGACCCAGCTCTATCTTTAACCCAAATCATAGCTTCCCCATGAGTTCAGCGCTTCCTCTCTGCCTATAACAATCCTTCCAAATCCATCTCCTCCTACTGTAACCTATGCTTCAGCCAAGCAAAATCTTAATATTCCAAGAATTCAAAGGTTTTCTTCTCTTCTACCTTAATCCCCACTTTCTTGGCTTGTCAGGGGGAAGCATACCTTTTGTAATAGGTCCAGCCAAAATGCCACCACATGCAGAATTCCTTCCTTTAATCTCTGTTCCAAGAAAATTTCCTCTCCTCTGAATTCTAGTGGTAGTTGTCATGCATTTAACACATTCTTTCTGAATTAGTATTATTTATCTGTTTTGTATCCCCTCAACCTGCTCAGAAGCTCCTTGAGGACAAGGTCTTGCTAGAATTATTTGGGAATCATGAGCATCCAGCACTGTGCCTGGCCATGTCAGGTCATCAAATGTTGGTTAATTTATTGATATAGATAGTTAAAATAACAATGTAATATTATAGGTGTCTGGATAAACATCTCGATCTCTTGAAATTGTGGTCCACCTGCCTTGGCCTCCCAAAGTACTGGGATCACAGGCATGAACCACCATGCCTGGCCATGGATAACCATCTCTAAAAGTAACTTTCCATGTGGCATTCAACCATTTTCTTTTCTTTTCTTTTTCTTTTTTTTCTTTTTTCTTTTTTTTTTTTTTTTTTTTTTTTTTTTTTTTTTTTTGCAACAGAGTTGGTTTCACTCTTGTCACCCAGACTGGAGTGCAATGCTG